CTCTTAACGCGTAGGTGAAATCTAGCGTAAACTTGATCTCGCAAACTTTCTGCTTTGCTGATTCAAGGCTTTTCGCGTCAATTTCCGTTTTTTCCTTTTTCCTATTCATTTTTCTCTGCACGATCGGCAGCCCTTCGTCGCAATCAAACGCGTGAAATTAAATTCGATACAAGTTGGGGAGAGCGATGAAGTCGATGAGGCAGGAACGGCCGAGTTGCAAACGTTCAACTGTGTCGAATGACGAAATATATCGCTACGCGTACATTTCACTGTTGATAAGATTAATAATTTTACAAGCCCGATCTGTGAGGTTTCAGTATAAATTATATTATGCATTATATGAATTTATTTCTCATTCTAAAGAAAAAGCAATTTTGTTATTTGCTGATGGCAGTCTTTGCTATTCTGATTGCGTTTCTTTTTTAGCAATAAATAAACAGATACTCATAAGTGATAAAAATATATAGGCAATCATTAAAATATTTATATACTTGATATTTTTGTAGGATAAACTTGGATAAGTGGCTATAGAGGAAAGATGACCGCAACCCTTGTTCATTCGATGTTTTATGACGAGTTAGATTGAGAGAACATGGATTGGCCATCTTTCCTCTATAGCCATCTTACCCGAGTTTACCCTACTTATTATTTTACATAAGCGAGATAAATTTTAGTTTCTTTCACAAAGTGTTGAAAAGAATGATTTTCATTTCTTCTTTCGATGACAGCATAACATTACATGCAACTATAGTTATCAATAATCGTAATATGGTTTCAAATTGTCATCATGAGCTTGAAATTCAAACGGAATTATCAGTGCGGTTATCATGGTTTGACTATTTGTTCGACCACGTGTTTCATAAGCGAAATTCGACGCGTAATATTCACAAATCGGAGCCATTGTATTTAAACATTTGCATAATTATTTGATAAAATATAAATAAGTCAAGCAGTACCTATATGCATATCGTGCATCACTCTGTGTATACAATGGCATATTAATTAATCATTTATTAAGGCGTATATTTTATTCTTGAACTTGCTATGAAAGGAAGATATACACATTCAAAAAGTCACAGAGAAAAATACAACAGTTAGTTTTGTCAATTTACACAATAGTGTATAAAATATTTTATTTTATATTATTTTTTACATTGATCCATTTAATCATGTTTTTAATATATTATTAAAACGTGAATATATGTCACAGAGAAATTATTAATTTGCAGTAGGTAATACTTTCACAATTATTGTTAGTCATAAGTCATAAACAATAAAACAATCTTGTTGGAGTATAGAATCAAAAATCTGTACGGAATTTTTTATCAATTGGTTATTAAATAAACTTTTATAATATTATTTTTGTATGTTTTTTTATTTGATAACACAGCCAGCTATTAAAATCACAACGGCGGCTGCTACGTTTAACCTGTTGCTTTAAAAATCATTTTTATTTTAACATCTTACCGTTTTTTTAGCATTCTTTTATATAGAAGTAAAAAAAGTTTTAATATTCTTCTTCTCAAAGATATGTATGCGGGAAAAGCTTTATTTGTAAAAATGTATTTTTTTCAGAAATTCGTCTGTCTTCGTATATTAATTCATACAAATCGGATTTAAAAAATCGTAATAAAATAATATTAATTGATATAAACACATTTGTGCGTCGTAATTACTATTATATATCTGCTATGCAAATTAATAATACATAGATAAGATGGATAGTGTAGGAACGTATTTACTATCTACAGGTGGTTCGTACACGTGACTCGAATGTCAGTAATGGTCAACATAATTACATCACGGGAATTAAAAAAAATGTGGGATCATAGGGTAAGGGTGAAAGATAAAATGTAATAAAGAACGGATTGCCGGATTGTCGTATATCATGCGGAGGTGACACTCTGGAATTGCTTTTTTGATCACGCGACCACTTTCTCTTGAAACAAAGGATAACTGCGCTGTTAAGAAAAAAATATATGCTGTATATACATATATGCTGAGCACGTATATAAAATATATTACACATACATATACATATATACATTACGGTTGTATATACGCCGGAGGGTAATGCAAACAGAACTAAAGGTTATAAGGGGAAAAGATGCGAGAAAGATAAAAAGTATAGTCTAGAAAGTTATATCACATTTTTATGGAATTTTCTCTGCGTTTTTGTGGAATGTGTTTTTACCTGAATCAAAGCCAATTAAATTAATGAATTCTTTCAAATGGCAAACTCGATATATCGGCTATATCGCTATAATTAATAATATTGATTAATTATATTTTATATATCATATTAATTAAAATGTTTGACCGCAAATATATATAAATACTTGATTTTTACCTGTATAATATCCATTACTTTATAATATACAATTGTATATTTTTATAATTTTATTAGACGTTATATATTTTGTCTATTTTGAAATGAATGCATACAAAAGAAGACCAATGTTAGAATTAAAGTAAACGGAGAAAATAATATAGGAAATGATAGGAAAATTAATGTATGATATAAAAAGATAACGTAAGGTCTACATGTTATCACAATAAAAGATAAAAAAAAATAATCAAAAGCACAGCCAGTGTCATAAAATAGTAAATTGTTACAAAGTGTGAAAAAGTAAGATTTATGAAACCTTGTACATATTATACATGATAAAAAGTTAATAAAATATTATTTTAAAAAAATCTTTTTTAGTCATTTTGTTAAACATATATGTAAGGTGAACCGAAATCTACGTAAAATGGAACAGAATCATGTTACTTTCTCGAGCACCGAAGACTGCCTGCAGCGTGAAACAAGGTTTAGGGTTACCAATTCGTGAAAGGCAAAAAGGGAAAACGAGGCAAGGGAAGAAACAAAAAGTAAAGGCGGCTATTAAGGCCATGCGCCACCCTTCGGTGTTCCAGCTGGTTTAATCTAGACTCTGCGCGATTGCGGAGCAATAACGTTACTAATGCAGTAAAAGCTGCTCATATATTCGGGCTGAGTCATATTCAATAAACAAGCTTTATGCGGAAAAGCTGCTTAGCTTTATTATGCTATATTAATATATTGGTTATATCGTGATTTGCTTGTCATAATGCTACAAATACGTTTCTCCTTGGTTTGGAAGTCTATATTAATTTATTTATTTTAAAACATCTTTTTCATTTGGAATTCATTTTCTATTTAAAATTGAAATTGAGATACATCTCTATTTTAATTTAACAAAAAGATTTTATAGCTTGATTTTAAGTGATTATAAAATTGAATATAATATTTCGCAATAATTTTGTGTTTTCTATTATTTATTTTATAAATATAATCTAATATTTTTAAATATAACTACGTTTCATAAATAAAACAAGCGTTTTAATTTATTTATTTACATCTAGATTTATTTACCTTTATTTTATTTAAATGATTCTTTAACCAACTACAAATTTCGTATTTTTATATACATATATTATCTAGCCAATTCCATTAGATATAACATGATCAGCTTTCGTTGAAAAGCAATTCTGGCTTAGCGGGGATTAATAACAAAACAGGAATAAACGTGCTGCATTTTATTCAGATATATTGGAAATTCGTATAAATGGAGGGCAACGAATCGATATCACGTGCAGCAATAATGGATGCGATAACTAAAGAAACGTTGCAGGAGCGTGCTGCTAACCGTTTTGCACTACTCTATACATCACCGATCGCAAACGATCGTTGCGAACGGCACTCGTGAAAATAACATGACATTGACGTCACACATTCCAGTAAACAAAACGTATATCGACCAGAAGATGTAGGATTGTAGGAAACCGAAGGAGAAAAATTGAAGATAAAACGGGATGACGACGAGAGTGAAGTAAAGAATGTTTCTCGTTCCATTAAGAACATAGACGTGTTTATCCTTAGGCGCAGGGCTTAATCGATGCGGCCTCCAATTAGCTCCTCGTTAAGCGATGCGCGCCGGAAGGCTGCATTTGAGGTTTGCAGAAGAGTCAGACACGGGCATAGGAATGTAGAATTTCGGCGGCATTACGCAAGCAAGCGTCCATTATCGGCCTACGCGTTCTCAGAGCTGCGGATGACTCGTCATCGACGAACCGATCGGGATACTTAGCGGTATACAAGAGAGACGTGATATTGAAATCGTGTGCACCACGTTTCGAAGTATTTAGCGCGGCATTAGGTTGATGATTTCGGTGGAGTTGACCAACGGAATTAACTCGAGCGTAACACGCCGATGCGCGTGGGAGCTGTTATGATACAAACGCGGGAGAAATGGTACTGTGGACTCGTTCCCGCGGGGTGTGCACGGCGTCGAAAATTGTCCATTCATATTGGTATATCTCTCTCGCGATGGAGCTTGGAGTACGAGCGATAAGTACGCCATTCAAATGGGATATTTTCACTCGCAAAGCCAAGCGGCGAGAATTGCAATAACATAACGAATTTGGATTCTTGTGGAGAAAAAGAGTATGATCGGCTTTTCACGCGATTGTTATCAGCTTGAAAGTTGCAAAAGCATAAAAGTTAGAATGCGTTAATTAATATGTAAATCGCACATATTTAAGATAAATATTTTAATGATTAGTTCCTAGTATTAAAATGATCTAAAATTGTAATTATACATATCGTACATTTATTTAAAATATTAAAAGATGTTATTTAAGATATTAAAAATTATATCATATGCAGAGGCATAGATTTGAAATTAAAAGAAGAACAAAGGAAATAAAGATATAAAATACATTGCGACACTTGAAGCTTTAGGTATTTCCATTCTTCAATCATATGTCTGCAACAACATTCTGGCACATCATATATATTGATAATTTAAAAAAGTATAAGTTTGATTAAAACTTTTAAATAAATTGCTTTCAATGTTGTGAATAAAGTAAGCGACATTCGAGACTTTGATTTGCAATTAGCCATACTTATCCGCGCTCGCATGGCATCTTTAATATCATCGATGATCCCTTTCTGGATCGACAAGCATATATGATACCTCTGTGAAGCCGCACAAAGGTGCGATCGCGCGATTTACTTGACAGTGATCGATGTGGGCAGTAGGGTCAGGCCGCGACATTAGATTATCCGCGCCGACTACGAAGATCCGTTTCTGCGGACACGCCACAACGTTCCTACGAATTCTGCGAGAGAGGAAAACGGAGACGGACACGCAGGGCGACGGAGAGAGGGATACTCTCCCAGGATCGATCTTAACTCCGAAGATGGAATCAGGTCATTCTCGATCAAAATTGGACGCATCCACGCGTCGCACGATTTCCGTCGCACGAGGTGGAAGGCCACGCTGGTGTGTACATACACGGGGCCGATCCGCTTCGCACTTCGTCCGAGGATACGTGTTTATTTCAGTCACCGTGCTATTGGCCGTTCGATCACGTTGCAGACGACGCGCTCCGAGTTATTGTCACCCATCAGCTGTTTTGCCACTTTCGCCGCCGCGCTCGGCGTAGCGGGTCTCTTCGGGCTCATTATAAGTCTCGGGCTCGCCGAGGCCGCGCAAAAATCGTCTATATCGACGAGAGTTCGCCAATTATGACCGAGTGTCGGGACTCGTTACGAGGACCGGTGCAGCGGTACACGCGTCGGCACTCGCGAGACAATCGAGACTGGCGGCGATCTTCGGGATAGATGTTCGGATGATTGATCGACGTGTATAACCGCCCCTCGGCTGGTCGGCGAGAATCGGGGGATCCATCGGCGGCTTCCCACGCGGAACGTATCTCGCTCCTCGTCGTCGTATCGCTGACTACGGCACGCTCGGCTCACTCCTTCTCACCCTTCTCGCCACCCTCGCTGTTCACGTGACTGGCAAGTTTCACTGGCGCAGTGGAAGCGCTTGCTTGATCCATGCGGTGTACGATCTTTCGATCCGCCGCAGCTCTCTTCCCGGGCACTTTGCGCGTTCAGAAACCGGGCTCAATGGTCGAGCCTCGAAATTGCTTCAAGATCCCCTCAATCCTCGAGGGTCTTCAAAAAGTGTAAACGATGAAAAGAAGCTGCCAAGATGCGCGAGCTATTGGCGTGGCACAAAACGAACGGCGCAACCGAATTGCCGGGACTGCGACACTTTCACTTGGTTTTGACACGTGCACCGGATGCTGCTGTACGACACCCTTCGATGTCCCGCTGGCACGTGTATGCTCGACGACGCGCACATCGAAGAGAAGAAATCTCAAGACGTAAGACCGACAGGCACGGCGCGAAAACGTGGTGACAGCGGAGACAGCGGGAGAAATAAAAACAATACGAGATATATAGGCACAGATGTACAGAACGAGAAAAGAAAAAAGAGAATAGATAAAGAGAGGAAAGGGTAGAAAAAGAATAAGGTGATGAAGAGGAGAGATAGAGGAAAAAGGGACGGCTACCACCCCCGTAGCCTTCGATTTTCGGGAGGAAAGTGAAGGCCACAGACACCGCCCAGCCAACCGCCCGGGTGTGCCAACACGAAAAACCACCCCCGTGGTGTGTTCCACGGCGGATGGACCGAGTAACCCCATCGCGCATGTGCTCAGTCGCCATGGATACCGCGACAGATACGCGCTGACGGCAGCGGTGGTGGCGGTCCACGGTACTTTAAGGGTCGCCAGGATTTTCGCACGTAGCAAGTATATCGAGGTTCGGAACTGCATGAAAAATGAAGGACTTTTCTAGTTTCCTCCGTGTCACCCTTGTTGCATCAGGGTTCGACACTCCATTGTCCTTAATGGAAGTGTGGACCAACTCTCGAATGTTGATGCGACGAAAGAGGTGGGAAGCAAGGGGGGTGAGAAGGAGTAGGAAAACAATGCCGCGAGGGTGACATCCGGTCTGCGGCCTGCGGTAGTTTAGCGTGGGCGAGGTCAGCGAAAAAGCGGGACTGTTTATGATATCCATTTTCAACTTTACGATTCAATTCTGGCCAAGATTCACTTATAATAAATAGTGATTAATAATTGCAATGAGTAATGTGTGATTTTTATACTGATGAGATGTTTTTTCAAGTATCTAGCAAGTCTTTAAAATTAATTATTTATCTAACACTACTCTCAGATATTTATCAATCACGGCAATTACATCAAAAATAAAAAATTATTTTTTTATAAGTACTTAAAATTTAAAAAAAAAATAATTTTTCAACGAAATAGACGATATCTCAATGGTTTGTTAAAAAATTAGTAAAACACGAGTTTACGTAAAATAATAACTACCATAAATATCTCTATGTGCACAAAAGTAAAAAAACCACCAAAGAATGTTTAAAATTTTATCTAAAATTGAAGTCAAAAGTCTATTAAAGTAAAAAAATTTCAAGCAATAATTATTATTGTCTTAATCGTCAAACGTAAATATCACTTGTGAGAAAAAACTGATTAGTTAATAATTAATAATTAGTGAATAATTAGATCACAATGACATTTTCGCTTAAAAAAAAAACTGATAAGTGAATAATTAGATCACCATGACATTTTCGCTTAACCAAACATGATTTTATACTCTTCTCGAAAGTAATGTCTGCTTCGTCAAAACTTCAGTGTTAATGCAATAAGCGACTGTAGCGTTATTGAGGTCGAGACAACGATAATGTCCTTCATGCGGAAAGGAACAATTATTTCGTTGGATAGAATTTCTGATACGAACGAGAAATTAGCGGTATATCGTTACAAACTATTCTGCATTCTCACGTAGGATATAATTTCGCCTAATTAGAAAAGCATTTCCTCCTGTCTGAATTTAAAATATTTTAACTAAATGTCGTTATTACAAACATAAACATTTTTATGCGTAAAAAATCATATACGTAAATATTACATTAATTTTGGAAATATATTGTCGATATTTGTAATCGAATTAGCTATCATCGATAATGAGATACGAGATAACGGAATACGGCATCGGTAATCGATTAATACAGGTAATTGTATTCACACAGCCATGTAATTTCGCACACGCACGTGCACTGAGCACATTGCTATACCTCCTAAATAGAAGATGCCGCCAATCGATACAGATCTTTATGAGGCATATCACAAGAACAAGACACTCACGCTGCCGTTCATCTCTCTCCAGCAATCTCCTTTTAAGAACTTTCTCCCTTCAGAATATGCAAATATAACTCGGTCAAGTAGGCGCCGGTAACCCGGACTCGATTCCACCGACACTCCTTCGCCGTAAGCGCACATCCATTCTTATGTTAATGTAATAAGCATCAGGCAGAGGCATCAAAAGATGTTGAAAGAAATTTGTCCGACACGCTCGACGGCGAGCTACTAATAGAGTTGAAAACATTTAATTAAAGTGGCGAATGGAGGTATTTGAGATTGTAGCTCGATAAGATTTATATCTGAAAATACTGTCAAGAGAGATCGAGAATCAAGTTAAACTTGAAGTCGGTTATAATACTTACGACTTATGATAACTTTTAATTATACCCACTATCCAGTTTACATTTTAATAAAATCACTATATAAAATAAAAAATGAAAAATATTTCAATGTTACGCGCGCGCGTGTTGTATCTCAACTCAAAGACCGGAATTTCTGATATGTATTTCAAAATTCGAGTGCTATTAAGACTCTAAATAAAAATTCTATATATCATCAAGAAATGTTATCAATGTAGAGCCAAATTATATCTGGTTATATTTACGGTAAAGTATATCTTCTTACAAAGTTCATGAATTCTATAAATATCGTTAAATGGATCTGAGATGCTGTGAAATTTTAACTATTTTAAGTATACATGCAATTTAATAATCTTGCAAACAGACGTCACATTTTTAAATTAAAGAACTTTGATATCCATGAAATAAAATTATTTTAATTAAATTTAACCGTATACAATTATTAACAAAACGCCAGCAATTTATAGGTTTAAAGAACTCTAACTGATTGTTTAATGTACAACACTTCAAGTCCACTTTCAAATATTGATTTAGGAAGTCTATAATCGAAGTACATCGTCTTAAAACTCGAGAGACTTCCGATCTGAGAATTCCATTAAATTGACGTATCTAGTGCTGCGCAAGGTTCTAATTAAGCCCAATGTCGTACGTGATCGCGTTACTATAACACAGAGCGAAAGAAGAGAGTGCAGGATACGTAATTTTGTTTGGATTCATACTGAATAGAGAATGAGAGAGTCCAGTATCGTACTTTGTTCTTGGTGCTGTAATTAGGAGTCTCGCTTTAAAAGTAAGTCTCTCTCTTGCGGTATGTTTTACCACCTCCGCGCGTTTTACTATACGCGCGAAAGTAAAGTAATTATTCGAATGGGTTTTGTCTGACTCAGTCATCCGAACACACAGTACATGTTTTCGTTAAAGTATCACGTAAAACAGGAACGTGTCCTTCAGCAATACGGTCCACTATGAGTTCCACCGCAAGACGTCATGTGATAATTACGACAAAATAAATAGAGGGCGAATACGGAAATTGTATAAATAACATTACAGAAATAATTAAATTAGTAAAATTAAATTGAATATTATTAAATTATAAGGTATTCCTGATTATAACAAATAGCTTTCTATTGCTTTAATGATAAAATTAAAGTTAAAAATCAAAAAATTATTAATTTGAACAATAATAGCAGTCTATTCAACTATTTACATATAAGTATTAATTTAGCAATGATGTACTCCATAAACTTCCTATTTTGTATCGATGCTTGCTGCGTTATCCGTTTGTACGTAAACAAATTTCTATCATTATGGTACACATTTTAGAATAAATATAAAATGCCTCCGGAAATGTTCATCGTCAGATTTCTTCACGGAAAAAGTTCTGAGATATCTCGAGGATGATCGGGTGTCTACGATCCTGCCATACCTGGAAGGGTTGCAGAATCTTCGATGAAATTCCATATCGGAGTGCATTCGCACATTATTAATAATTGTTCCGTATATATTTGGGAAAAAAACGAGAAAGGTGCGATATAGCTTTGCTCGCTATTTCGCACTGCATCTTTTCAAATTTTTGCCGTTCATACGAGTTTGTCGTCATGCAGCACAACATGTGTAAATGCACAGACGTTTGCAAACACAATATAATACCCACAATACAATACACACATACACATGGATACATGTACTCATACACGTGGAAATTGAATTCTGATGGAATAATCTGCTCGTTATGGACGAGAGATTCTCCACTGTTATTGCAGAATTAACAACGTTCTGTGTAAAATAGCTAACGCGAGAGAAATAACAACTGAATTGCCCAAACAATTATTAAGGAAATCACTCCAGAGTGACATTTATCTCATGGTCAGGCAAAAAATATCGTATTATACACACTGCTTCATTCAAAGTCAAATAATAACAGTCTTCGAGATACGTTCACGTAAAGTTTGCTGCCAAAATTTTAGAAGTGTTTTTAATCCCCAATTATTCATCGTTAAATTTATATGCTTTTGCTACGAACTTTACATAAAAGTTCTGTGTGTAATTTAAAACTCTCTCTCTCTCTTAGCTACTTGTGTATCTTTAATCATATTAGCGCGTAACTTAAACTGAATTTAATATCTTCAAATTTATCGAAGTTTAGTTATTGCACATTCAGTAGAAAACACAGACAACAAAATATACACTGACAAGAAAATGTACGAAAACTTCTTGCAAAGTATCGAGCTCAACTTCCACAACGTAAACTTTAGCGATAAATGTATCTCGACATTTTCTTAAAATTGGATTACGAAAGAATCTTTCATTTCACGTCTCTCCTAACGAAAGGATTGCAATATTAAAAATAGCAATTGAATTCCATTGCGTTGACTTCCATCAGCGAAAATTCTGTGTTAAAAAGCAGTTCAATCAATATCACCGAACACCAGATTATAGAAATCCTCCGAGTATCATAAGCAAAAACGTTCGAAAAACGATTTCATACGCGAGCTCGTTTAAATGAATGTCAACTACGAACAGGGACATTGGTTCTCTATCATGTATGGACAGGCCGTGGACGAAAGAGCGGTGGTATATTGCATTACTTTGACTACATTTCCGCCCTCTGAAATTCTACGAGAGTGGCGTTAGCAGCCGTCTTTGCGCGCGAGAGACCGTGATATTACATTGCAGATAGGGCGTATATGAATAGCTTAAAAGTGCCGAGAATTTTGCACTAAGTAATTGTTTATTTGGCAATTATAAATGGAGAATTAATTGCTAACTCTATAAATAATATAATAAATAATATATAAATAAAAAACATTAGTTGTATGTTTGCCCCAGTGCAGTGAGAGAGAAAATAATTTCGATACGTTGCTGTATGCTCGTTCAACATTTTCTATGGAAAAATTAAAGTGAACAAGATATTATGCGAAATATTATTCGCATCATAGAAGATAATGTCTAATGCTAATAGATTACAGTTACAAACTGCTCTTTTATTATGCATGCATTATGCATGCATGCAATC